TGTTCGAATGATGGAAAATAAATGGAGTGTCACTGGGCTTGATTGGTAGAGTATTAGCAAATTCGCTAATATTTTTTTAAGAAGCAGTTTGTAAAATATTTGCATTTAAAATATATAAAGTTTCAAAACTACTTTAATATAAATTATTTATTTGTCTAATAATATTAGAAAATTATATTTTTAAATAATTTTATAAAACAATTAATTTAAATTTTAATTATTTTTAAAACAATATTTTAAGTTTTTCAAATACAAATAAACAATTTAAAATTAATTATGGTCATGATTTAATATAACCCTAATGATTTAAAAATTAAAAAAATAAAATTAACATATTAAAAACTAACTCAGTTTTATATCCTGATTTAATAATTTAAAAATTAATTATGGTTATGAGAAGTTTGCGTTCACTTGTCAATCCTATTTATCTTCAATTTTTCTCTTGTTGTGGTTTTTTATATTTTGGTTATTACTCGATATAAATATTTATTTTGAAGTTTATTCTCATTTCCTTTGTTTGTTTTGACCTGGAATTTAGAAAATACTTAAGATTTAAAATAATTAAAGAGATACATACTTACGTTAAGATCTGCACTTTATGCAGAATAAGTATTTTATATTTATTATTTATTTTATGTTGTTCTGCATATTATAAAATAAAAAAATAATAAATATATATTAAATAACTAAGAAGTCAGTTACTATTATGTAATAAATTGGCGTATGCATATAAATTAAACTATCACTCTCGTTTATTCGCAATTAGGGTAAATAAATCAAAATAATCAATCTTATATATTGTATATGATATATAATTAAATTTAAATGATATAAACATAGTAATATAGCACACTTTTAATATGGATATTTATTAAATGAGGTTTCTACTCATATGATTTTATGATTATTTGCATATTTTTGTAACAAAACTCTACAATGATTTTTTTTTATTGTGAGATGTTTAGTAATTTCAATAATTTATAATCATTTTAAAAAACAATGACATATTTTAAATTAAATATTAACTTTTCAATATATGTTCAAGGCAAATATCAAAATATAAGTATGTATTTTCATACGATGTATAGTTTAATTAAAACGATATGAAATATATATAAACTAAAATTATTTCTTCATATGGTCTTATAATCATTACATTTAATATATATAGAAAAGAAAATAAAACCTTGATCCTAAAAGTTTATGTGTGACTTTTAACAAATTTAGTAATTTATACTCATTTTGAAAAATTCGAAATACAATATACACAAAACAAAATCTAGATTTTTATTATATGATTAATGTAATTGTGTAATTTATTTTAATAATAAAAAATAAACAAAATGAGAAAAAGTATACAGATTGTTATCAAATCTTTATTGTTTAAAATCATTAATTGTCATATATATATATTTTAATCACATTAGGTAATTCCGTAGGTTTTATTTAAGGAAAGCACGCAAAACAATAAATATTTGATATATGCGACCAACTATAGCCTACGAAATATTATATTGCTAGAAAATATAATTTTTAGACTATACATTATATCATATGCTCTAGAATTCTTAGAATTTGAAATATAAGTTAAAGAGATATGCCACATAGGATTGGAGTTATTTTTAATTCTTACAAACTTAAGGTTACAACTTTTTAAATGATTCTCAATTAATATATAGGGGATATGTAGTGGTCTAATTTATTGTGTCTTGAACTCTGGGTTGGTTTGAGATACAATTTGAGATATGCTACTTTATTGTTATCACAATTGCTAATTCAGGTAATTATGCAGGATCATATAATACCTGGCTTCAGCAAGAAATAACGACATGTATATAAAACTTGTGATGCAATTTGGGTTTACTTATATTTGGCTACTGACAAGTCTTCATGAGCAATCTGTCATTCTTTTCCAGAAAAAAAAAAGAATGAATGATTCTTGTGGATGTGTAGTGACATGGTTCAAGACTTCAAATCACGTTCCAATATTTTCTTCGACTGAAGTTCCTATAGCCATGGTTGATGATGGCTCGTATAGTTCATGTAACTATACCTGTTCTTAGTTGGCTCTTTTTGTGCATCTGCCCCTGATCTGTCTCCCACTTGTGACCCACTCTTTATTCATTGTTTGGCTGAAGGGACTCTCCGTATTGTTTTCTATTCAGAATATCAAAACATACAAATACTCAGATACAAATCTTTTATTTTCCAAATATACCTATTTTTAATATCTTCTTCACCTCTCTTTGTTTGTAGTTATTATTTGTAATAAGTTGTTTAATAACAACATTGTCTTCTTCTCGGAAAATGGTATTAATCTTCATTTATACCAAAAAAGCACCAACCCGAGAAATCTATGTTTGATGTGCACTGGCCTTAGCAAAAGGTCCATAACCTACCCCTTCAATATTTTCTTTTACCTCCTCTGTAGTTGTATATAATCTCTCATCCTCTCTAGTCTTTCTCAAAGATATAGAGATGGACTTATTCACTGAAAAAAAAACATGATGACCATCTCTCTGTTTGTCAGCTAGATTGTTCTCTCACTATGTTGAAGCGCAAAACATTTGTGTTCCTAAAGTTTCAGCTTCTTCACCGTATTAGCTACACCACCATTTCTGATTGAAACTCCTCCGAGTTTCTGAGCTTTTCCTCTGGTGGTGGAGGACTCTAGTTAGGATTTAGGAATATTTCAAAATCAATGAATGAGATGAGGTTATTTCTGTTGGGGTTTCAACTATATATAGTAGTATGTGTGTCGGTTAATTTCTTTGTTAACTATTGAATCAAAGGGTCTCTAAATTCTGTTTAACATGACAAGATCTACACTGATGAAGAACATCTCTAATGCTGTGAAAATAATAAAAATGTAAACTAAAAATATAGTTTTGTGAAAAGAAAAGTAAGCTGTATTCAAAGAAAAAAGCTATCTAAACAATTTTAGTTTTTTTTGCCATTTTTGTATACTAAGTGATAAATCTATTTCCTAAAAATATGATTAATTACTATAGTTGAAAAATATCTATACTATTGAATATTAAAAAAAAAGTTTCTAACGAAAATGACATTTTTTCCAAAAATATCACAAAGGAAATTTAATTCTCACTAATGGTAATTTAGTCTTTTGTTTTTGGAATTTTGGGCTTAAAATTACACTTACTCCTTAATTTAATTCATTGCATATATGACCCAAAAAAAAATCTTATTCCAGCAATTATAATTATAATTTTATTAATAAGGCTACACCTATAAGTTATTTCTAAACATAAGGAATAAATTACTTACATTAAAATTGAAGTAGTATTGATCATTATAAAACCTATAAATTAAAATACATAACATAAATACAATGCATTATTTTTGTATGACAAATAGCTTATTCAGTTTTATGTACAGATTAGTATATGAGGGTTTTAATCGATTTTTTTTTTAAAATATATATATATAGATATATATTTTAAGATTTTTCTGGGTTTTTGTTGGGTCAACCAGTTTTGGTACATGGGTTAGTGGTGGGATTTTTGGTTTTACCTGATTTTTAGTTAATATGTTTTCATTAAATTCATTAAATTCAAACATTTCAGTTGGTAGGACCTCTGATAAAATGCTACATGAAGAACATAAGCTAGTCCAAACACTGCTTATATTAATTCGTTTATAAACCACACTAAAAGGAGATAAATTATTAGTAAAAGTAGAATGCTTTCTTTGCACCATTAAAATGGAGATTCATTATTTGGTTCAGATATTTTTGTTTTTGTTTTTTGGCTCTAGAAATTGAGAAACCGTTCAGATATTTACAAAGTTTAGTTTGGTTTCAGATGAATTATTTCGGATTTTGTTTTTGGTTTGGTAGCAAATTTGGGAATCATCTAATATGCACAAAAAAAAAATTTGGGTCCAATTCAGTTCCAATTCGATTCGCGGTTTGCAATTTAAATATCGGGTTATTCGTATAAAAATATCAGATAATTCAAATAATTTTTAAAATTTTGAATAAAAATATTAGGATAATTCGGTTTATAAATAATATTTTAGGATATTTGGTTATTTAGAAATTAAATATAATTAATATTGTAAGCATTTAATTTACAATTTTAAATTTTAAGTACAAATTTGATTCTTGGTCCGATTTCAATTTTTGTTTTGTTTCAAAGATACATGAGCTGCTCAGTTATTTATGAAATTTAGTTCAATTATGATTTAGGATTTTTCAGTTTGGTAGAATTCGGTTTGCGGGTTCGGATAAATGTGCCCAAACCTATACACTCTCATATAAAGAAATTCATTTAAAATAATTTATTTAATTTCAAAAATAAACCTGCATTTTCCAACTTATGTCAAATCTAGTTGTACACGTTAAATTCTTAGTGACATAGATTAAATAAGCAAATTAGTGTTGTTATACATCACCGAAAATGTCACTCGTTGTAATGTAGTCTGATTATGTTTGACATTAGAAAAGTGTTTGATCTACAGTGGGTAAAAGTCATTCTTATATATGGTATTATGGTTAGTGCGTATGATGCAACAATGTTAACATTGAAAGAACATGACTGAGTTTATCAGGGACTGAAATATATGTGAAAAGGATTATGGCTGAGAACTTAGCCTATTCGCCAACTTAGGCCTTGTATGTTAATGGTATTACCAATTAACATTTGCATTATATATCCATTATCCAAGATGAAAGTTTTAGCTGGAAAACCAAATATCAAAGTCATTTCAAAATCTAAGTTCAAGATTATAACTATATGCTTATAAATATAAAGTTCAAACTTAGCCAATCAGATTTTAATTAATGACTTTTGTTAATCCTAAAGACCCTAAAACCATTTATCTTATTTTTCTCTTGTTACGTAAGTGATTTTCAAAAGCCCGCAATCTATGGCTTTTGTTTTTTGCTAAAGCAACTGACAGTTTTTAAAACCTAAAGTTTCTAAACTACTTTCTTTTTTGTAAAACCACAGCCACTACAGTTGCAAACAATCGGAGCCAAGTTATCTTTGTTTCATTTTGGTAAGCTTAATTAGAGAAAACAACAAAAGAAACATGAACTGAAGGACCACAAGGAAAGAAGTAACGTGAAAGATATATGCATGACACACACGTTATTTCCCACAATGTTTACACTTGTTCACATGCATATGTGCTGTTTCAAGTACATTGGATTACATATACATAACATATCTCTGCGACTCACCTGGTGTGGATTTCTTTCAAGAACGGACTGTTCCTTAAACTTGAGCGTACATGAATGGATTTCTTTCACCCCATGATGATCACAGTAGAGTTTACCTAGTATGATATTGTATATAGTCTATGTTACCTAAGAACAAAAAAAAAGATAATTACAAAGCTATCTCAGAGGCAAAAGACAGCAAAAGTGAGTCCAAAGTAGTAGTTTATATCTTTATAGATACCTTGCTCCATTGAACTACAGAGTCAACAGGTTCAACTTGAATCGATCTCCCCCAAAACCTTGACCTAAGGTTAGTATCACACCAGAACTTCCACCCTTTACCTTCACAGTGGCTGGCGATTACAGTTGGATGGTGGCTGACCTAAAAATGAATGATATTCCCATAATCATGACAATTATATGCATCACATTCTAACTAACTTTGGCGTTGACACAAGTACCTTTTCAGTGAAGAAACGAATACCCTTTTCAGGAAAGTCAGCTTCATATGTTTCTCGAAGCAAAGTGTTAAAGGGCTTATAGTGCCTGCCTTCAAAGGAAGCATATCCAGTGACCGCAAAAGCAGCAACGTTTAAAGCTCTTAAGAGACCGTTCCCCTAGAACAAAAAGATGTTTCCTCGCACTATCAACCTGTCCTAATCTGAAAGATGAAATTTTTAATCTCAAAAATTTGAAACCTAAATAGATTCGAACTGAACTTTGATGACTCTCGAATATCCACCCATAATTTAAAGTTTGTCCTACAATGAATATGGGCAATGAAAGTGTAAAATTGGTCAATTTCATAGTATTGAATTTGTAGTATTGAAATAACATTGGTTAATAATATTAATAATATCAATATACGTATTAATAGATATAGACTAACGAATTACCTGCAAACGATTGACATATATGAAGATATATAATATAGTTTGTTTTATAGTGAGAATATAGTACATATTTATAAATTAATATATTGGTTGAATGATATAATAGATGGATAAAGAGAAATATTCATATTGAAAATATTAGATGAGACATGGAAGAAAATAATTAGGTTTATGAGTGAAAAGATTATTTAAAGAAATATTTTATTAAAGGTTGAGTTAATAATTAAGATAACCTAAATAATAGGAGATCCAACTTTAAAATTCACCTAAAAAATTCATAATGTTTATATTTTAACAATATACTAAATAATAACCTGTCCGACTGGGCGGGTCTTTGTTTTAATGGTGTATATAACCAATCCAAAATTACAAACTAATGATTCCAATTTTAATACTTAAGTACATTGTTTAAACATTGTATTTTTTTCACTGTATTGTGTAACAAGGGTGTTTAATGCCCTTAAGTAAAAGAAAAAAGGGGTGTCGATAAAATTGTTGTGAGCCGTAAACATTTTAGTAATAGTTTATAAATTTTTTTCGGTTAAATTTGGTGCAAAGCTATATACACTAAATAATTTAGTCAAATTTCTGAGTTAAAATTTTAATGAAGAATTAGGAGGCTAGTATATCACTATTAAAATTTTTTAACAATAGTCCAAATAAATTATATAAATAAGATATATATTATTCTTGATTTATTCAAAATATATTTAAAACACAAGTACATATATGTATAGATAAATTTCAGAAATGAAGTAATATCAAAAACAGAAATCATAATAATACTTTGGACCATACTAATGTTTAGATTAATAAAAGTAAGCCCATTAGCCCATTAGGTTTCTGTTAGTTTTTTTTCCAGGAAAAACATATATTGTGCTCGTGACAAAGTAAAACGATTTGTGTCTATCAAAACAGAATAAATCTTCAACAACTTTTTCTTTTCCTCAGTGAACCGTCATACATAGAGATCGACGAAGCTTATGTATAGAAGCCTAAACTGGAGCCATATTTGAAGATCATCCGTCAATATAGCTTCAATCTCAAGGTTTGTAGTTTGTTTCGTATTTATCCAACTACAGAGAACCTTCTCAAAATTAGGGGTTTGTTTTGTTACTGAGATTGATTAGATCTAAATCATGTAGATCATCGCTATGTTGAAGGATATATACTTCAAATCAGAGATGAAAACACTACAAGAAAATATTTATATTGTGACAAAAAAATTTAGTCACAATAAACATGATTCCGTAGCAATATTACCATTGTGATGAAGTTGTTACCATTTTTCAAAGGTCACAATAGTGTCGTCACAAATTTATGTTGTAACAAAGTACGTCACAACTTGTATCAGAGATATCTCGTAACTTGTTCGTTAGTAAAAGTGACAAAAATAAAAGTAACAAGCCCGTCATAATTATTGACTAAAACTATGGTCTTAAAAATCGTTAGCTTAGGTGACGGAAAAATGTCTCAATTTTGTAATTCATTGCAACAAAAATTTAGTCACTAATCGTCCTAAATAATGACTACAATGTTGTCGTCATTTCGTTACACTTACATACTAAACAAAAGTCTTGATTCGTCAGTCAATTTATGACTAATGTGCTACAGTTTTTCAATTCGGTCATTTTGTTCTATTTTGTTATTACTAAAACTTGGGTCACAATTTAGTCTTAAATAACTACTAAATTTTCGTCTATAAACTGTTAATATTTTTTTGTCAATTAAAAATGTTACATATATTGTATTAAATATGTTAACTATGTATTAGTAGTATTATTTTTATTAAAAATTACAAAAGTACGAGATTATTATCAAAAAGAGAAACATACACAAAACTTACATAGATATGCCAAGATCATAATACATCAAACTAAATCATGCTAAACCATACCCGAAAGAATAAACTAACTTAAGAAAAAAATGCCAAAAGTAGAGGAAAACAAATGTATAGATTCATCAAATCTTGTCGTGTTATTTCTGTACTGGCTTTATTAAAAAAGTCTTGACCTTACTAAGCAGCAATCTTGGGAGGTTAATTTGTAGGCCTGTCGAGTGTCTTATATGAGTTGACTCCCGTTTTATCCGATTATTATCACTCTGCAAATTCTGCATTGTCCTCTTCTTGATAAAGTTCGAGAGAAAAACGTCTTCTAAAATCGACATATTGGGAATTTGATCTTCTCTCGTACGGGCTACAAGTGACAAAAGAAGTTAAGAAAAGATCTATTAGAAAAGAAAGAAATCGTTTGAGATTCAAGATAATATGCAGTTTAAATAACTGAATGAAAATATATACCTCATACAGAAGATTAACAAATACGTAATGCCAACTATGTAACTAGTGGTTGTGAAAAGTTAAACCAAAATACGAGACGGCTTATATTTTGTACAAGAAGAGTTTTTAGGCTTTTAGGTAAACTTGTGAGAGAGAGTAAGTTGTTACCTTCTTTATTTATATACTATTAATTAAATCTTTGTATACTAACGAGTTATGACGTTTGGTGTTTATTTTGGTAACAACCCAAATTTTATTGCTTTTTGACCGGGATTTATTGACCCATTTTGATTCTCTAATTAACTGTTTATAATAAATTGGTTTGTTATGAATCTTATGATTTTCGTCAATTTTTTTCAACCACTAAACTTGATACTTTCCTAGAATTGAAAATTGTTTCCTTAATTAAAAACTCCACTAAGATTTGTTTTTAATTCCCCCACACAAACACAATCTTTTAACTTGGTATCACAAATTTTATATCGCACCATTGCCATTTTATTTTATTTTGTTTCCATAACATAGGTTGCTGATACAGTACTTCCATTTAATATTATACTAGGATAAGACATGCGTCTTGTGCATGTTGACTGTATGTAATTAAAATATAAAACTTTAGTATTGACAAATTTAAAATTTATATAAGATTGTTTTTATATGTATTTGGAATTCTGGAATTTTTATATAATTATCTATACGTAAGATCAGAAACAATTATAATTAGAATTGTAGTTCAAAACTTAGAATTTAATGGATCCGGTTCATATATTTTTGGGAAATTTGCCAAAAGGGGACCGAAAAACACAACTATTGTCCCCTTAGAATAAAATCAAATTTTGGCACTTTTGGACATTCACTACCCTTTTGTATATAAAAATTCAAAGTAAAAAATTTACAAGGTAAAAAATTGAGGAAAAATATACAATATGAAATAGAGTAGCATGTGAATATATGAAAAATATTTTTACATTCAAAAAATGTTTGGAATAGTAATTTCAAAAATTGGATAAATCGGGTAGTAAATCAGATCTACCATCTACGGCGGTTCAGAGTGTACAATCTACTAACAACTAATCCATCTAAAGGGCTTAGAATGGGTAATACACCAAAAACATATACATCTACGATTGAAGAATATGATAACTGGCATTCCTTCTTTGTTATGTAGTTTCAGTAGAACATAGCATATAATAAAGACTCATGCGTCTACCTTGGCAGAACATATCTTCTTAATTTTAATGTTTTGTCTACGCTCGTGGGATTACGTTTCCACTGTTTAAACTAATGGAAAATTTGGTAGAATGTATCTTCTACCAACGGTTTATGAGCCACCATCCGAAAATCTAGCAAAATCTGAAAGTAAATATTCTCTAAATATTTTTATTTCCTTTTTAATATATTTTGCCTTGAACGTGGGTCTTCTTCTTCTTCTCACCGTGAAAACCTCTTCTATTCTTCTAGTTCTTCCACTTCCAAGCTATCTAACAATGAAGATGCACATGTATACTTCATGTGGTTCGTGGAACTCGTCTGTAAGCAATGGATGGCGATTTGTTGTTGATGAAGGAAAAGGACGTAGGTTACAAACTGTGGACACAAGTTCATCTTTTGAACACCTGAAGTTGATCGTGTGTGAAGACTTTGGAATTGATCTAGACATGGTCAATATCGAGTTGAGTTACTTACCTTCAGATTTGATGAATAGCATCAACTCGCCACCTGTTTTCATCACCAATGATAGGCAGCTCAAAAAACTTTCTAACATATCTGAAGATCAGAGCTTCTACGCGGTTATGTGTGTGTGTTCGATCTAAGGTGGATACAAGGAATATCAACATCGAATTTGACTTGAATGAAGAAGGGACTACTGAGTCGCCTACTGAGTCGCCTAACTTAAAAACTTTCTAACATCTTTTTATGCATAAACCTCTGTTTTTTGTTTTTCTGCAAGTTATCTTTCATATTCATGATCCGTTTCATGTTGATTTTAGCAGTGTTTTTGATTTATATTGAATTTAGATGTCTTTGAAACATGTCAATAACACTAGAAATCTATTACTTGTTCTTATTCAATGTAGATAGAAATAGAAAAACATTACAAAATATCAATCAAATTTGGAACATAGACATAAAATACTGAGAATGGATCCTACACAACCAACATCTCGAGAGGCTTTATGCTTCATAACTTCTTCTTCCACCATCTTCAACGAAACACGCAGATCTTCAATTTCATCTGCCATGAACGCTTGATGGTCATCCATCTTTTGAATCTCTTCATACAGAGCCTCATCCACCCACTTAAAAAGATGTTGCTCTTTTTTCTCTGATTTGGAACAGAAAACAAATTAAGTCTCAACACAGAAGAATTGATAAGTATTTATATATGACATTTACCTGTAAAGCAATCTCACATCTGAAGAATCGTCGGTATGATTCTCATATGTTTTTGAAACGTAAGTGACAATCCCCCTCTCACACCAGCCTCTGCGAGGGATTCCTTCAATGTTGTTCATGTTCGCCATATTTTTCGGAAAGAAGAAAGAAAGACGATGAGGAAAAGTGGCCAAATTAGGGTAGATGATATACGTAACATGATTTTTGTTCTTATTGTTAGGGTTTCATTATTGGTTTAGGGTTTCATTATTGTTTAGGGTATGGATTTACCAAGATTTTTGTAACATGATTTTTGTTCTTTTAAAAGATACTATATAACATTTACATTTTATTATTTTATTA